GCCCCTCATCGTTAGGACACTCCTAATGATTTAATTATAACTATTTTAATTATAAAATACAACATGAATTTTTGTGAAGGCTATAAAATCATATACATTTTAAAGGCCTTATTCTTTGTTCTGGACCGACCACTATTGGCCCAGTGCATTTGGGTTAGCCTGCTAAGGCCCATGAATAGGTTATACCTTTGCTCTCCCGTGGTGAACATATGAACCTCAAAGCAAATGATCCTTCACTCCCTGCACAACTTACTATACTCACGTAGTGGAGCATGTTCTCACGTACACAGTGAGGTGTATGACAAAATGATTATGACTCTTTTCTTTCTAATCATGAGAAAATATTTCCTACCTATATATACCCCTCTTCTCCACATAAGGAGGCATATGCAAATCATCACTTTTATGAGCTATTCCTCTATCAAAATATAAAGTGTCGTGTCTCTACATATTTCCCTTTTCTCAATCTCGCCTAAGATAGCACCACGTCTCTCTTGGAGCTTTGATCCATATCTGTTACTTTGAACACCCACACATTAATATACTTCAACTATTGGCGCAGTGGCGGACCTAGGAAAAAAAATTTATGTCTGCACATTTAGTGGCGAAGGTTCGGGGGCAGCGTCCCCGAATTTTTTTTTTTGTAAAAAAAGTTTACACCAACGCTTGAACCCGCTCATAATCTAGTTGCTTCGATAACAAGCTGCAGGCAATAGTTTGACCAATTATTTCCCCCCCCCCCCTAAATCTTATCAATCCTCCAAAACAAATATGAGAATATACTCCAGTATATCTATACATCATTATTCTATTTTATAGTGGTGAATAAAAAAGTCAACACTGCATGTACAGAAGGCAAGCAAAATAACAGTGAAGGCCTTGTCTCTAAATATTAAGTTATTTGAGAATGTCAGATATGCAATCAATCCTCTCTTTTTATAAAAATGAAAAAGGAAACAAAGGATGAAGAGAGCATGGGAATGGGTACGTGACAGGAGAGGAAGAATAAGTTTTTTCTCTAATCAATTTGCATTGCTACGTTGTTTTAATCATCTTGGTACGTTGCTACGTTGCTAACTAATATAGGAATAAATATTTTTTTTGGTCCCTAACAAAAAATTCGGTCCCCACTTTAGTGCATTATAAAAAAAAAAATTAGTCACTTGATTCCTATGAAATTCAAAGTGAACCCATTTTGGTCTTTTTGAGGGACTAATGTAGGTCTTTTTTGAATTTGTGAGGGACCACGATTTTCACTAAATTGATCCACTTTAAATTTTTTAAGGAGCTCGAGACTAATTTTTTTTATAAGAGACTAAAATGGAGATCATGTTTTTTAGTTAGGGACTTAGGGCCTGTTTGGTGTGATGTATAAGACCTGATAGTATAAACTTATACTATACGTTATGACATTTTCAGTTGTTTGGGGTGACCATCGTATAGTATAAGTTTATACAGCAAGATCAGTTAATACATCAAAATGATGTATAAGATAATCAGGTCTAAGGAGGTGGGATTAGACCTGATAAGGGATGATGTATTAGGTCTCATTTGTCTCTTCCCCTTCTACCCCTTTTTTTCCCAATCACCTTCGCCACTCACTTCTCTTCTCCCTCTGGCACCATCTGTCACCGGAGCAACCTGATGTCAATAATAATGGAATATTTCTCGTTCTCCACCTCACACTTCTCCATACCACCAACACCACCGTTCCTCCTCCTCCTCCTCCACAAACAACCATATCCTTCTCTCTAAAACCACCGCCGGACTCCAACAACTCCACCATGCCTGGCAACTTCCGCCCCCTCCAAACCCCTGAAAACCACCACACCCAACAACTCCCCTAAAACCGCCGCTTTAATTCCTCCAAAATCCCTTACAAACATGTTATGGCTCACTAGCAAACCTTTTTAAGTATGGTTTCGACTCTGATGTCTACATTGATAACAATCTGATAAACTTTTACGGCTGTTTGCAAGAAAATTCTGGATGCACGAAAGGTGTTTGATGAAATGCCTAACAAAGAGCGGTGGTGAGAGAGCGGTGAAGTTACGGTTCTGAATGTGAATGTAAACATTTGTTTACTTTTCTTCAATTATCTTTCGTAGAAATGTAGCTGTTTATTAGTGTGAACTTTGAAGCTGAAAACAACTTGAGTTTGTGTTCTTCATTTTTTTCCTGCAATTATTGCTTACTTTGTTATGGTTAAGCGCTTTTAGGTTGCTACTTGTTTTGTTGTTGCAAAGTTAAGATCAATGTGTTATGTTCTTTATGTTCGGCTTAATGATCAATGTTCTTCCATTTTTCAAATTTTTCAATGTAATTTTACATCAGTGCATTTTGGAAAAGCTGGGTTATTTTCTTACTGTTATTTACTGGATTCAATGATATCAATCTACTTCAAGTTAAGCAAGAATATATAAGCCATCATTTTGGAAAAGCTGGTTTATTTTCTTACTATTATTTTCTTTATTAAAGGATATTTTTGTAAAAAATATTTATTTTTATCCTATCTAGTATTATATAGTGCTCTACCAAACATTGGATAGTATTATCTTATACAATACATTATTTTATACAATATCATGCCAAACGCTGGATAGTATTAAAATTTAATCAGGTCTTATACAATCAGGTCTTATACTATCAGGTCTTATACTATCAGGCCTTATCCAATACTATGCACCAAACATGCCTTTAAACAGGTATTTACTCTTAGTATATATATATTGAAATCAAAAGACAAATAAAGACCTACAATCAAAAAAAAAAAAAAAAAAAAAACAAAAACAAAATTTTTTATTACCGCACTTGCGGACGTGGGTCTGCCACTGCATTGGCGGATACATATTTAGCTCAAAATTCATAACAACTCAAAAATATTTCACCAAAACTTATAGTAGAAAGGGGGCGGACGCCCAACGTATCCGTCTTTGTTCCCCCACTTGTCAATTATTAATACAGATAAATTTTATGGAAAAAAATATTATCAAATAAAAATAATGTGCATACATTTCAATAAAAGACAGAAATGCATGTACTTGCTTGCAGGTGTGAAATTGAGATGTACCATAATTTCGATAGAGGACTGGTGGTGGATTATGACGAGGTAAAAGAAGAAAATTGCTAAGAAACGCTCGACTTAAATCCTACATTATTTTTTTATTTGTTAATAGGATAACTCTACTCATGTCAAGAAAAAACAAAAACAAAATAAAAAAATGATCGAGTGTTTTGTGGTTCGAAGCTATCTTAAGGAATTATTATTATTATTTATTTCTATAAGCATGAGCATTTAATAGCCATATATGTTAAGAACACCAAAATCAAGAATTACACTTGTACTAGTCTCTCTTTTTTTGTTACAGAAAAGTTTAGGTGGAGTGAGACATTGGTATTCTCCATAGTCAAGACATACTTTCCAATCTCTTTGAAAATTTATGAGAGAAATTACAGGTCACCTATCAACAAGATCTTCACATCGGCTAACAGAATTACATTTATACTCGTTTTTGCACACGAGAGAAAGTGAACAAAAAATGGAATTTAAAATTTGAAATTTGGGCATGTTGGATTGTGTTTTAGGGTTTTTGTTCTTAAAATTATTTTATAAAATAGTTAATAAATTAAATATTTTTTAAGTTAAAAGTCAGCATAAAACAAAAATAACTTAAATATGTTCTCAAAATTTAATTATAAAAAAATGTTACAATTTTTTATTTTATTTTTTATGTAAATAGACTTTATCAAATGAGTTTTTTATTTTTTTATTTTAGGAAATCAAAAAATTATTCTTCGAAACAGATTTCAAGATTTCAAACAGGCTCTTAACTTTTATTTTTAGTTTATCATTTATTTAAAGGAAAAAATATTTATTCTTTTAAAATATATAAAATTGTGTTATTTTATAATAAGAGAAATAATTATACAATAAAAATTATGATAAGAGAGAGTGAGTAAATTTTTAATTTAAATATTAAATAAAATATAATAATTTTAATTAAAATAAGTAAATAATCATTTTTCAAAATGATACATTTTTTTTTTTATAAATGAAAATAATATTTAAGATTTTTTTTTTGGTAATCGAAAAGAGAGACTACAATGGGAGAAACACGCGCTAGCGCGGTTTGAGGAGAGTGAGGTAGTAAGAAAGGGTCATAAATACGAGGTACAGCGTAGGAAGGGCATTGGTCGCTTGGGGAACGAAAGAGGCAAGGTGGCCCTCTTCCCGTACTCTTGGATTAGGCTTTTCTGGAAAGAGTTTCCTTTTTCTACTATTATTCTCATTTCCTTTTCTGATGCCAAAACCTACCCCAAACTCAAACTCATACACACACTTTCTCTCCTCATTCATCTTCGCACTGTGGTGTGGTCTACACTACACTCACATATACTACAATGATCAATCAGTATTCGATCTCTTTCCCCAAAATACCCTCCTCCACCACCCCTAATTACTTTCCTCTTTTGACCTCATGTGGCACCCCACATGGTAAAACTTAGTCATAATCCTAAAAAGATAAAAATGGTTGGAGACGTGGGTGGGAAGGAGGAGGGACTTTTCGACTTGTGAGTTATGATGGGGAATAATTAACCATTACAAGGTAACAAAAGCTAATTTCGAGTAATTATCTATCTTTAGGACACCTTGCGCTGTCTATTTCCATTACTGCGTAATTAGGAGCCATAAAGACCCGAGAGAGAGAGAGATGGACACACCCCCAGATGCTTTTCGATTTGGTTAACGTGGGAAAGTTGTTTAAGAAAGAGATGGTTCTTTCTTTCCCAAATTTTCCAACTCATTTTTTATTTATCTCTCTGACTTTCTCTCTCTAATAAAATAGAAGAAAGATAAATAAATAAGTGTACAGATGATTAGAAAAATCATAAATAGATTTTTTTTTTTTTTTTTTGAACGAATGAATGAATGAAAGAAAAAGAGAGAGGACATTTTAGAGAGAGAATGAAATTATGAGTCATTGAAAAGAAAAGAGAGAAGAAGCAAGTGGTTAGAGATAGAAAGAGGAGTGAGAAGAAGGGTATGGTGTTAAGGAGAAGGAGAGATGCTTTCGGCTAAGCTTGCTCAAACTGGCCTCGTCTATGCTGTATTGGGCAGTTGGGGAATACAAAGATCTTTGAACATCTCCTTTACTACATTTTTGCAACACCTACCTCTTTCTCTCTCTCTCTTCACTCGTCCGAGGTTTGAGTTTCTTCTCTGAATTCTGAACACTCAAGCTCACTCCACGACTACTCCTTTTTTCGCATCATCTCCATTATTATTTTATTCACAAACGATAGAAAAACAAGACATAGCCCCAACACACACACACACACGCACAGCATCACTTTCTTCTGCAACCAAGGGGCAAAACAACCCAAATAAAATTCAGAAAAAAACAAAACAAAACAAAACAGAGAAAGAGAGAAAGTTTTAGTCTTTTGATGTGAGAGTGGGAATCAGAAATCTGGGTGAGTTACTAGTCTTGTTTGTTTTTCGTTAATGCTCGTGCACAACAACAAGGCCTTTCTCTATAGTTAGCCGAGAAGCTAAAATCTTTTAAGGGTCAATCACAAGCACAAGAATGTGGGATCTCAATGACTCACCCGATAAGAGAAAGGATGATGAATCCGAAGGCTGTTCTTCCCTTAAGACTTCAATCGATGGGGATGATGATAAAGGAAAGAGGGTTGGATCTGTTTCCAATTCAAGCTCTTCAGCTGTGGTAATCGAAGACGGATCAGAAGAAGAAGAAGAAGGTGAGAGGGAGGGTAACAAAACTATGAAGAAAAGAAGCAGCAAAATATTCGGGTTCTCTGTGACCCACGATGAAGAGTACATGGACAGTGATCATCCACCTATGACTCGGCAATTTTTTCCGGTGGAGGAGCCTGATATGGCCGTTGCATCCGGTGGTAGAAGCTCTGCCTTCCCTCGTGCTCACTGGGTAGGTGTGAAATTTTGTCAATCAGAAACACTTGGTGCTGGAAAATCAGTGGAAGTTTCACAACCCATGAAGAAGAGTCGACGAGGACCAAGGTCGAGGAGCTCACAGTATAGAGGAGTTACCTTTTACAGAAGAACAGGTCGATGGGAGTCTCATATATGGTTAGTGTGCTTTGTAGTTTTTCCATTCCATAAAAATTTTAACCTTAACATTCTATATATGTTTTTTTTTTTTAATTTGATTTTCTCACAATTAAAATTTGATTCTTTTTGGTTCTGTTTTTGTCCTTTGATATTGCAGGGATTGTGGAAAACAAGTGTATCTGGGTAGGTATTACGATAAGAATGATTGTGTGTGTGTGTGTGGCAGTTATTTTTCCTATATCTTGTTTTAAGTGGCTAAAACATGTGGTTTTATTTTTTCTTCTTTTGTGTTTTTTGTCTTGGATGTGATTTGGAGAGACAAAGGAGAGTGTGTGTGGGGAAATTTTTTTGTGGTGACTGACTAGATGGTTTTGTCTGGGTAAATTTGTCTAGGTGGATTTGACACAGCACATGCAGCTGCTCGGTGAGAACCTGCCCCCTCCTCTAGTTTACCAAGCTTGTAATATAACTTTTCTATGTCTTGAACCGAATCAAATATAAAATTTCATTCCTGGAAATGTGAGGTTCAAAGAAAAAATATGTATTAATTCATCTCTCTGTGCAGTGCATATGATAGAGCAGCCATTAAGTTCCGAGGAGTAGAGGCAGACATAAACTTCAACATAGAAGACTATGAAGAAGACTTGAAGCAGGTGATCCTTTGTGGATACTTTTTTTCTTTTTCTTTAAAAAGACATTTATTTACCTTATCTTGAAGAGTCATATAAGATACACTACATCTTAATTTTGTATCTTGAATTATTCTCGTCATTTGGCTGAATGTGATGTTAATAGATGAGCAATCTGACCAAGGAAGAGTTTGTGCACGTACTTCGCCGACAAAGCACTGGATTTCCAAGAGGAAGCTCAAAATATAGAGGTGTAACTTTGCACAAGTGTGGAAGATGGGAGGCTCGAATGGGCCAATTTTTAGGGAAAAAGTAGGCCTTATCTTCTACTCCTTTCTCAAAAAAAAGTTATATTTTTTGGGGGGGGGATTTCTCTCTCGTGTATATTTGTTCATGCAATTCATATATCTATGTTATAACAACTAAGATTAATTAATTTGATTCGCTAGGTACGTTTATCTGGGTCTATTTGACACCGAGATTGAAGCTGCAAGGTATCTACTTTGCTTACATTGTCAATTTGTTATTTCCTTTTCCCCTTCCCAATTACTAGATTCCCCATCTTCCAAAACGTAGCCAAGAATATAAAAATGAATTTCAGGGTTATAAATTTCCTTGCACATTAATTTTACTGTAGGGCTTATGACAAAGCAGCAATAAAATGCAACGGCAAAGAGGCCGTCACCAATTTTGATCCCAGCATCTATGAGAATGAACTTAATTCTGGTAAAAATTGGACTATATATAAGAATTATATACTTTGTTATGATACAAGTTAATATTTTTTATTATTCACATTCACATGTATAATAATATGTATTACTGGGCAGCAGAATCCACAGGTAACACTGCAGAACACAATTTGGATTTAAGTTTGGGAAATTCGAGTTCCAAGCCTAGCAATGGTCAAGCGTTGGGGAATCACTTAACAAATGCTGCAAATTATGATCAGCATCTGCCATCTGAATCTAATTGGCAGAATGGGGGAAACAAGCATAAGGTTCATACTATATAAAGATTTTCATTATTTACTATTTCATTCACTCCTGTTCAATTTCCTAATATTCTACTTTATTTTTTTTTCCCCCTCCATATTAATATTTCATTCAGCTCGTGAATATACTACCAAAACCATGCATTAGAAGTAACAAGGAAGCAAATGGAAGAGATGTGCACGGAGAGAGTGAAGCATTGAGGATGCTAAGTCAAACTCACCTTCATTCTTCAGCCTCAAATGAAATGCAAAGATATGGTCTTTACAGGTCTCCTGGAGAGTCTCAAATGCTTCACAATTTTGCACATATTCACCAACCAAATTTTCATGTGGGTACCTCATCATTTCAATTAGTTTATTTAATCTCATGCATTATTATATAATTTGAATGAGAAGAAAATTAAGAAGCACCCCCATTATGCATATTTATTTATATTTATGAATTTTGCAAATGTAGTTTCCCAGCAGCAGCAATGGAGGCCGTATTGGAAGTGAACTTTCGTTATCAATGACCGATCAACAACAGTGGCAATCCGGGCCTCCACATTATGTAGCAACTGCTGCAGCATCATCAGGATTCCCACATCAGATTAGACCCTCTCATCAAGGGTGGCTGCAGAAAAATGGATTCCATACTCTCATGAGACCCTCTTGACCCTAAATAGAAATTTTCTGCCTAGCCATTTACATTCAAATAATCTCTTATTTTCTTTTCTTAGCATGTAAACATGGATGCAGTGTTAGACTATTGTTCATGAAGAAAAGCCCATACAAGACCAAAACTTTACTATTGAGGTGAAAGAATGGATAACAAAAGGGGGAAAAAAAAGTATCCAAATTGGGAACTCAATGGTCTTAGTCTGGGTTCAGTCAAACTAACAAACGGACGAAATCTTTACCTAGATATTCTGGGCTCTGACTAAAATTTTCTGATCTTATATAACTCTGATTTATTGCTTTTATGCGTTATGGTATTTATGACAGCACCTATTCGTTTCTTAATTTGGGATGTATTGCTATCACATACACATGATTGTCAATTTGTTCCTTATTTCTCTTGGATTGGGATTGGTATTGAAAACTTTGCCTGAGGAAACATGCTACCTTTGGTTCCTTAGAAGGGTAATGCGGGGTTTTTATAGCTTGACAAAAAAGATTGAGACAAATCTAGCTGAAGCTTAAATGAGAAAAAATAAAAAATAATGAAGCGGAAAATTATATACTCATAGGAAAATCAGAGAAGCAAAATGGTTTATTTTCTGGTGTCTTGGAAATATCATAGGATGGTGATGAATAGTCTCAATCAACGGTGTCCTTTGAATCAGTTCTCTCGGCCAAAAGCAGTCAGACAAAGCTATTATGATGAGAGGGACCGATCATTGTTCGTCTAAAGCTTCAAAAGGACACTGATGCATGGAGTGAGAGAGAGGAATCGAAGCGACCAAAAGGGTATAATGGCGAAGGGGTTGGCTCGCTTGGGGGTTTAACACTTTAACCCGCTTTGTCAGTTTCAACTTTTACTAGAAAACATAAAAGTAAGGATACATAATAACACTGTTAATTGAAAGCAAAAAACAGGTGGTGTTGGCTCACTGTATAATAATAATAATAATAATATATGGGGATGTACTTTTGTAGCAGCAGAGGAGTAATTGGTTACTGGATTGGTTGGGTTAAACGATTCTAGACTTGTGAGTTTGGGAGGGAACAAACTTCTGACTCGTTACTGAATCAGATTCAATTTTTGATGATTAACTTTGTTATCTCGTTGGTTGCAAAAATATTTGTTTTTATTTATAACAAAAAAATAATCATGCAACCCCATTTGGTTTTTGGATGTTGTGGTTTGGTAAAATAATATAAAAAAATCTAAGCATACATGATTTCATCATCGCTGGCGTCATCGTAGATATTTCGTGAAAAGTGGGCTTCAATAGTTGGCATATAAAATTGAAATTACAGGTTGAACCGTTGAAGGCTTGTTGTACTGGGTTTTGGGGCTTTATCATTATCCTTTAAGGTAAGATACTTATCTTATATTGTGAGAGAAAATGAATTGGTTTTATCTTTACAAAGAAAAAAAAAATGGGATATGAAAATCGAACTGAGAGAATATGAGATAAGTTATCTCACGTGAAAGGAGAATAATATTTTCTTGAGTTTTATTACCAAAATGGAAAAATAAAATAAAAATAGAAAAAATGATTAAGCTTGATGACCCTTGTGCCTAATAATATTTGATTTTTTGTTGTTGTAACCCATCGATTGAAAAGAGGTCATATATTTACCGGAAAAAAAAAAAAAAAGAGGTCATATGAGTAAGCTAAGAATATTCATAGTTGGCTCAGATCATGAGAGCCACTGTGCCAGGATTGGTTAACAACATGAGCATCCTTGGTGGTCCAAATAGTGTTGATGCCATGGGCCTTGATTCTACGTAAAGAAAAGAAGAGAACAAAGCTAGTAATATATAGTACATTGCAGATTGGAGTACAAAGTGAGACTCTGCAACTCAGTGCTCAGTAGGTTAAAGACCCTCCCTCCCCTTAGATCTTTTTTCTTTACATCGTATCTATGAGACACTGCAATACCCAGAGAGAGACTCATTTCTCTTTCTCAGTTTCTCTCTTAATTTCTCACTCTTTACTTTTCTTTTTCTTTTTCTTAATAATTTTACCCTAGTTTAAGTTTTAAGACAAATATATAGAAAGACAGTAAAAAAGAAAAAAGAAAAGACATTGCATGGTGCATTTATGCAAAGAGTAAGACAACCACAGTCCAGAAAGTTTAAAAAAATGGAAATCTAAAAGAGTAAAGTCATCTAGCAAATGGGTTGGGTCGAGACCACCTTTTTTACCCTTTAAGATGAGTGTTTCCATAAATGGGATATCTTGAACGGCTAGAAAATTATTTGGGTCTACTTCATTTTATTTTATTTTTGAAAACAAAGTTCTTTCCCTATCGTGTATTTTTATAATAATTGACGAGTGGTATGTGTTCGAGTTTGTGTTTGATGCTATAATATAATATTATAATAATAAATCTGTGCACATATAGGGATAGGTGATGGTGACTGGGACTGGGACCAGGACTTGGGTGAGGAGTCATTGGTCCTATAATGCACACTGTGCTCTCATTTGTTAGATCGCTATCATCGTTCTCTCAGACAAACTACTCCTTTGGTTTCCCTTTCTGGGACGCCCTTGCCCCCCCTCTCTCTCTCATTCCAATTTTCACCGATTGCACTATGTGCCTTAACTCCCTCCTTCTAACTTTGCATACACTTTCCTTTTCTGGTATGATTTTGGGTTTGTTATTGTATTCACCTGTATCTGCTTGGAATTCTCTCTCTCCTATAGTTCGGAGGCATATATGTAATTTTGAGTTATAGCTAGATCCTGCTCCTCCCATGTGAAATTTAGCAGGCTCTCTTGCTACTTTAAGAAAAAATAAAATAAAATAAAAGGATCGTAAGTAATAATTGAAAACTAACCGGTTGATATTATATACATATGCATCATAAATTAAATTTTTGTTAGAATTGATTTTGTTTTTTACTTAACCTCTTTCACTTTTTTATGTTAGGTAAAGGATTTAATGTTTTTTATATTATAAGAGATAAATTTATCTTTTACATGCATATAAAAGTATGTGGAACCCTTGTAAATGTATATGAAGAGAAGAAAGAGATCGAAGGAAAAAATATGAGTCCTACACATTTTTCAATTTAATTTGTGAAAATATTTAATACCTTAGATTCAAACTCTCAAGAATGAGTAATTAGTTGTAATAGAGTTAATCAAAAACATCCTTATCATTATTAATTAGTTGCGTGCTTTACCGTAGCATAAGTAATTAAGATGTGATATTTTTTGGATATTAAGATGTGAACTTAGTTTTGAAGGATTTCCTTTGATTTTATTATCATTTTTACACATAAAATATCCCAACTATTTGAGTATGGAGTACTGCTCTAACTTGATTATTATTTTAAAGAAATTACTATAATAATCATAAACTATATTTTAATTTACCAACAAGAGAAGATAGTATACAAGTTGTCCTTCTAAAAAAAAAAAAAAAATTTGAACTCTAAATAAAACAATTGTTGAGTGGCTTCCTGATTAATAACCAGTTATGTATAAAATAATAATAATAACCAGTTATGACATTAATTGTTTGAGGGATTATTTTCTCAGTAATGTATATGAGAATGCTCTTTATTTTTTTGGGTACAATTATGAGAATAATTAGGTAAAAAAAAATACATTACATTTTAATTTATTGTTTGCTTAATGTGTACATGACTTTTCTTTCAAAAATTGTCTTTAAAATAATTATTCATCATAATGATATGATAATTCGAAATATTATTTATTATTCTATAGTAACGAGTGATCATTATGTTATCACTTCAAATTATCTAACGATACAACTTATAAAAATATACTAAACAATAATTTAAAATCTTTTTATTTCTTCAAGTACCAGTAGCTTATTATTAAGAATACATGGGACATATACAATGATAACAACTACTAATTTTGAGTTTTATTAGGTAGAAAATTAACATGTATGGATATATATAACCCATATATACTGTCAGACATGGGGACCAGCTAAACCCTAAATAAGTCAATCCTCCAGGTGTCACAAAAATCAAACAGATGCATATTCCCTATTAAACAAGAAACCCAGGCATTATGAATATTTATCATAGAATGTGAGACACCATGGCCTCTGATATTAGCCACCCAACTCGCCGTATATTATAAAATCTCATCAATGAGACAAAAACCGACCAAACATGAATTAATTTCATCTCACATTCTGAAAGGAAAGTTTTTTCCACAAAACATATATAATAAAAATTAAGAAAAGAAAATTGAAGGGAAATGAAAATATACAGAAAGTCTATGATAAAGCTAAAGTTGATACTAAGAAAAATTGGTGCATTATTTATTTGTTAGGTCGAAAATAAGATTAATGTGTCAGCTTATCAAATATTTGGAAACCTCATTGATTCCTTTCAGCAACCGGACCGCATATATGTGTGGTGCATACTGGTCCCCTCCTCTTTTCTCAAAAAGAGATAAGCTTCTAATGAAGATTGATATGTGTGCATACTCTTCCTCGCTAACTTTTAATTAACTTTCATTTTCTATGACTTGTACAAAAAATAAAAATAAAACTTTCATTTTCTATGTCTATTTTGTTAATTCTATCAATTATTAATTATTTCACTAACTTAAGCATCTGTAACATCACTTTGTTCATTTGTCCTGGGACAGAATATGTGGCTATGTATTAATTTGATTAGTAAAGGCTGGACTACATTTTGTTACGTAATCTTCACTTAGTTTTGTCATCAAATTATCAAAGTCGTACTTATAATTAACGCATTATATGCCATCTCTATTGGCTATCGTAATTAATAAGTTTCGGCACAAATGGGAAAAAAGGACGTATGAAAATAAATTCAATGTAGAGGACATAGTTTGAAGCAGTGATTAGAGGGTTAAACAAATCAATAAAGTATAGCGTAATTCTAGAGTATTACAATATGGTAATTTAGGTGAAATTTAGGGTAAGGGAAATCCTAGAGCAGAAATTTTTTTTTTTTTGGGTGAAATCCTAGAGCAGAATTTTACAAAATCAAAGAATTATAATTTTGCTCAAAGCATCAGAGAATTACTTATTTACGCGAAATATATATGAGATAGATCGTGTTTGTTGTTTTTATTCTTAATTGATCGTATGTTTCATTTGTTAAAATGTAATAAAATCATTCATAAGCTTTCACCTAATAATGTAAATTTTCTTAATAGTTAGTTATTAATATAGTACCAAAACCTCTATAACAGTATTTAAGAGTGAGATTTTTAGTTTTTTACCTTCGTTCTTATCAATAAAAATGATAATAATGAGTAAGTTGGATGAGAAACTATGTTAATTAAAAATATAATAAAATTATCAAA